GGTCAGACCAAAGTGGAAGAAAAGCATTCCGGAGAAGAGAAGCATCTTTGGAACATTATAGAGGTGTGTGTGGGGTCAAGGGATCTGGGAATCTTTATTAAAGTGTTTTAGGTGAGTGGTGTGATCAAACAAGTTTGAGAAACCCAGACTTGGGAAATCATCCCTTTTGGTAATCTGTCCTTTATGTTTTTGGCTGGAAGAATACTTAGGAGACCAAAGGACTCCCTCCACTCAGGACTAGAACAGAATAGAAGCTTTCAGATTTAGAATTTTATCATATTTTTTTTGTGGTTAAATGATAACCTGCTCTTGTTAGTTTTATATGGGAATGAGAACCCTTGTCATTTGTGTACTAAACTTCCAAGTCTGATATAAAATATAATAGTGACCAGCAATTGATGAACACCAATCACATATTAACACTTCCATATATATACATATATAAAACACTTCCATAAAACATACATATATAAAAATTACTTATTTTTGGAACTAAATCTGGAAGATAGATAATTCCGTTCTTTGTATTTCCAGTGTCCCTAGCAAATGGTATGTGCCCTGTGTTTGTTGAGTGAATCAGAGATTAGAATCCATGCTCAAAAAAGTTTATAAATGTTACCTAGACTGGTTCTAGAACATTTTTCAGCTGTAGCAGATTGCTTCTCAATAGTTTATATTAAATATCTTATTTCTGTCTCCAGATTTAGAACACTATCTATTTGTGTTTTCCATGTAGCTGAATGGTAAGGCTAAATATTAATTGAATGCCTCCTGTGTACACAAACCTAAAATTTATTTTTGCAACAATATTCTGGATATCTCCCAAGAAGGAGATGTTTCTAGATGTTTTCTGCAATAGCATCTTAACTGTGGGATGAAAACAGCCAGAAAGTAAAAGTATGCTTCATAGACAGTAATATATAAGAATCTCAATATAGAGCAGCAGGGTAAGAGGTGGTAGTGAAGATGAAAGAGTCCTTTTCATTCAGTGGTAAAACAGTTTTGTTCATTTTATATCCCTCTTTTCAGTGGCATTTATTTTAAATGTTAATTTATGTAGAGTAAGATCCTGTAGTTATAATTTCTGCCTGGAAAAGCGAATCCTCCTATTTGAAATACTAGCCTCTTTTCTCTTTTTGAGGTTAATAGTTTGTAGTGTTTGGTTTGCACCAAAGGCAGACATAGGAATGGGCTACACAAAACCAACTCGAGTGTCCTTCAACTCTCAGAGCTCACAGCAACTTCTGTGGTTAATGAAAGGTGACCTCTGGATTCAGAGGAGCCCTGTGCTTTCCCAGAAGACCCAGGCTAAACCTGGGGAGCTGGCAATCCTAAATGCTTCCTTTGTTAGAAATCATTTCGCTCTCTACTCCATCTTTAGAAAGTGAGTTCACTGAAGGTGAGTTAAGGACAAGGCTTTGAAGTGGGCCCTGACTTTCTTCCTTGTGTTTGCGCGGGGCTGTGTGGACGAAGAGACTAATGAAGATTCAGCCCCCAAGACTGTATTACCTAAAAGTTGTTTCTTGCTGCCTCAACAGAAATGCTCTTCATGGTCCAGAAGGCACTGTGTGCTGCTTTGGGGATTGTGTTTCCACAGTGAGGACTGTTAGAACCACCTTCTCTTGTTTCTGTAAACTTCTCCAGGGGGAGACTATAAATGGTAACACTTGTACGCATGGGGAGCACCCAAGAGAAGTGCTCCTCAGTGCTAGGTTGCCTGAGTGTGCTCTCTTCAGTACACTTGGGGGCCTGGAACTGGGAAGTCTCTGCTTACTCCCTGCTTTCAGGGATTGCTAGCTGCCATCCTCATGGTGTCCATTATCATGGGATCAAGCTAACTTTAAGAAAATACTTAATTTTTAAAACTGTATTTTATTCCTTAAGAGGGAAAGAAAGCAGTTTTAAGCCTCTAAAAAAAATGTTTTAATTTTAAGGTAAGGACCTTTTGTTGGCTTGTATTTTAAATAGCTTGAATATTCTTCTAACTTCACATACTTTTACCACAGTTACCTAAAGGTGGAGATTTACTTAATTAATTTTGTATTAGGGCTGTTAAATGTTGCTCATGTATGTGCATTCATAGTCAAATTATAAAATTAGTTTGAGCCTCTTTGAAAGACTAAGTTTAATTTTTAAAATGCTCTTTTTTTCACGACAGGTACAGAGGAGGGAAAAGAAGTAGATAACAATTTTTAAGGCTTATGTTTTATTTATGGCTTTAGTTAGTAACAGATATCTTAATTTACCATAAAATTTTTCATTAGTGAAGAAACAATTATTTCCAGATTTATTTGATTTTGACATTTTAATTCACTAATGATTACTATGCCTTAGCATTAACTGGATCTTAATAATAACTTTGACAGTCTGAATAATTTTAAAACATAGCTTTTTAGATTTTGCCATTTGCTTGCTATATTAAATTTAAACATGGAAACAATGTCACTTCCTATTTATATTTTACTTTCCGATTCTCTTAAATTAGTTGTGTTCTCAGGAGTTTGTTCAAACCTATAAGAAATAATTGTTGGCTAAAATGAGGACAGAATTGAACATTCAGATAATTCTCTCTACCACCTTACCTTAGTTTCATTTATTTGGAGTCATAGTGGGTACCAGGTGTTGGCCTTTACCTTTCTAGTCTTGCAAGTTTTCCTTCCTTGCTTTTGCTAGGAGCAGGGTTGTAGGAGTGAGCAGAGGAGAGGAAGCCAGGGCTGGGGGAGGATATAGCACCAACAGAGGTGAGCGAATTTGTTCCCATTATATTTCACGTGGGATGGCAAGTTTTCCCAATTCTGGTTTCCACTGAGTCATGGTGAAGACACTTCTAGGCTGCTGTCGGATATTCTGCTTGGCATATGAAGAGCCTTTTTTACAAAATGCATTTTACTTTTTAACACAGATTGCTGTATTTGTAATCATACTGAATTTTCAGTTTTAGTAAAGAAATAACTTTCTCATAACGCTTTCCTTGTAAAAGCATACAGTGATTTTCTAGAAAGCTTAATCACAAGGTAGGTTAGATAAAAGGAAACCTCTTTTTAGAGAAACTGTTCTTCTTGGGAATTCTTTAGCCCTGGTCTATAAATAATAGCAGATTATCCATATGGTTTCCATATTGGGAGGGGGCATGGGAAATTACTCACTTAACTTGGAATTAATATTCTTGGTAAAAAGATAAATCCTTAATCATCATTTATAGTGGGCTGATTGAACCCATGTGCTCTGGAGCCTGAAAATGGAGTTTGCGACCCTGCTGTGCAGATTTCAAACTCTGACTTTGGTTAATTTACTCAATCTCTTGGTGGCTGTGTCTGTTACAAGGCGTTGTTAGGACTATTTAACTCTGCATAGTGCTTTGAACAAGTTCTTAACAAGTGGTACTGCTATTTTATTATTTTATTGCCTGACTACAATTTTAATTGTTGGACATAGTGCTGATTTGAATGACAGTGACTTAAAAAAAATTTCCAGTTACTTCAGAAGTGTGTATCCTTTTCATGGTCTTGGTACTGACTCATTTGCTGCCCTTGTTCAAGTGACAGCCTTGAAAACTCCAGCTTTTAAGTTGTTCTTGAATTGTTTACATTAGTTAAGGTAGAAGAGTCATAAGATGATATAATACATGTAGAAAGAACTTTGGGGGAAAGCAAACATGCTTGACTGCCAAGCCATGCTTGTTTATTACATGTGCTGCTTCTAAAGATGTTTTTCTTCCTCTGCCCTCCCCCCCCCTTAAGAAAGTTTGTCCTTTTTTAAGTAGATATATGACAGCTCTACTTCCTCTCCTAAGTTTAGGATCAAAGGAAACTTGTAATAAAGGATAGTCACTCCCTCCCATTCCTTCTCCCATTTCTTGAGGATGTTGTTCTATCTTTTTTAAGAGAGAAGATCAGGCCTTGACTTCAGGGGGTGAAACTATGGGGCTCCCAAAGCCGCCTTTCATCTGTGGGTCATCACCTCAGATGTTGTTTTTCTCCATAATGTGCACACGCCCCTGCTGGGGGAACAGTGCCCTATAGGTTAAGATATTGAGGTATTTCTAGAAATCTTAGCCACCTTTGCCTTCATCGTTGTTAGGATGCTCATTTTTTAGAATGACATAGGATGTTTGGCAGACATGTCAATGAATAATTTTCCCTGCTTTGTCAGTGACTAAACCTCACCAACTTCTTGTAAATTGGAAGCCTAACTCCAAAAAAGGTAAGAGAAGAAAAACAACACTGAGTTTTAGCTGTTTATTTACTGGCAGGGCTTTTCTAGATGTAAACACAGTTGAATGGAAAAGATAATAGGGATTGCAGCCTGTCTTGCTCCATGAGAGTGAATGAGCCAGTGTTAGACCTTAATGTCGGAGAAAAAATAACATTCACCTTTTAAAACAAAACAAAATAAAACAAAACCCAAAACTATCAGGCAGTGCAGGCTAACCGATGAAAATTAAAGGTCAGTTTCTTCAGTACCCCACCTCAGTGCATGCCTCAAGCCATGTTAATAATGGCAATCCCATTATGTTCCTGCAGCAGGCAGGAAATGCTGTCTACACCCATTAGATTTGTTTGAGTGGCCCCTGGCTGGAAATGAAGAAAATTAAATTTTCTAACTTCCAGAGAGTAAAAAAAAAAAAAAGAAATACAGTGCTGCATAGAAGTTGATTCTTGGGATGGAATAAGATCAGTGTTATTAAATAAGACTTGATGTTCTTAATTTTGATCATAGGGTCCTTTCACCTTATCCTCATTGAAATCATGAATGGACTTTTTTGTAACTTAGCTGTGTAGAAAGTCTTTCTGAATGTCAGGACTAGCTCAATTCTGGACATTTTGCCGTATGTTTGCAAACTGTCCGTTTCTTCCCATGTCCCACTAGCTGTTGGAAACTTGCTTGAAGGAAGACTTTGTCATAGCTTTTTCTCAGAAGATTAGTTTGCTTTTCAAAAGCAACATTTATGTCAAAGAAAATCTGTATATCCATTAGGATAATCAATTACTCTATGTTTTCAATAATAAGAAAAAAAATCATTATTAGTTAATGTTATAGAGAAAACATGTGAGCCTGTATTTGCACATCACAGTTGCATTGCCTTTCAGAGCTGTTTCTTGATCTTATGGCTCACTTGTTTTCTATTACTTCTTTTGCATCCTTTGTTTAAAAAAATTTTTTTTTTTGCAATTTCTTATCCATCCTATACATTTTTTAGAATAAGGCAAAAAGTCTTTATTGCTGTTTTGATATTTAAATGGTTAGGATGTTCTGTTACAGATTCTCAATTGTATATAATTCATTGTTCTTGGACACTGTCATCATTTTCCCATGAAATGCAGAGTAGGATCTTAAATTGTTGGAACTTGCTGAAAATCACAGGAGTAGCCAATGCTAGTAGAAGCAGATCTTTCAGTCCTTGCTTCCTGAACCTGAGTAGGTCAAAGAAATCATACCATATAATGACTCTGTAGTTCAAACCAACAAACAGAACTTCACCTACACTGTAACCTCAGGTCATCATATTCGTTTGTTTCTATACACCTAGAGCTTTTGCTTTGCTTCCTGAAATGATATATTGGAAAGCAGTCTCTGACATCTTCATAGAAAAGAAACAATGAACCAAGGGGGTTTTTATGAACATAGTCCTTCCTGTCTTTATTTTGCTTATGACATTTTGCTTATGGTTGTTATCAATACCAGTGTTTTCCACAGTGATTATTTCCTCATTTATTTGTTATAGTTTAAGAAGAACAGCATCAAGGGATTCTTAACTTCAGAGAATATTGTATATGCATTTTGAAAAATATATTTTGGTGATAGCCTATGTTATATTACATATCTGGAGGGACATTTTTTAATCTACACTTATCTTTTATTTATAAAAGGACTGGGGCTTTTTGCTAACTTTTTCTATAGTAAGGGTACATAGGCCTTATCAGTGGTTTATTTGACACCTCTCAGATGACTTCTTTGGGATCCTGACACTAATTTCACCCATGTTTATGATGTTTTAAAACTTACATAAAAACAAAACTTTTTCAGAGAATATTTGGGAGTCAAATGTTTTCATCTGAAAAATTATCTTAATTGAGAATTTAGGTTTGAAATACTTGTATGGATTATTAACTGAATAGCTGGAATCTGTTATAGATTGTGTAACCTATTTATTTGAAATATATCTGTATTTAAGTTTGGCAAGATATCAGGACACGGATACAAGTTAGGCATAATTGTTTACTTTCCTAAGTCAGTAACGCAATTCTTGTTTTGCCATAGAAAACATTACACCTGATAGCCTCTATGAACTTACTTAACCTTCAGAATAATTATATTTTTTTCCAGGATGCTGACCGGATGATTACGTGTAAGGATGTTTATCCATAGTCCAATGATTTAAAACTTTTAGACAAACAGAGAGTATGTAACAGTTTTTCCTAACTCTGCTCTTTTGAATGATTTGGTTAGTGAGAACTAACTCTCTGAAATATTTCAAGCAGATTTTGGCCTAAATCTTCCAGTCTTCAGCTTTAGGAAATACATACTTGGATTTGTAAGAATGGGAAGGTTAGCCAGGTAGTCTGCTTGCTCCTTTTAGCTGTAAGAGTCTTTGGCCTCAGTGGACTGATGCTTATTAAATCCCTGAATTTTGTAGAACGTGTTTCCAAAAGAAGAGAACCTTCATGGTGAACAGTGAACCCTCATAGTGAATCAGCTGATGTTTCATTCTCTAAAGTTCCCTCTTGGATTTTTATGACTCGGTCTTGCAGGGAACCTCTGCTGAAGACGTGTAAGTAATGAAAGATGGTGGATTAAAATTCGAATTGAGAGATTCTTTTTTTAGATACCCATCTCACTGCTGTGGGGCAGGGAGGAGGGTGGTAGTGGAGTGTTAATGGTTGTAGATGGTCTTCAGGTGAGAGTTTGTGGTGGTGGGTGTGTGTGTGGGGAACAGCAGGCTAAGGCTCTTTTGAATTGGATTCATACACAGGTCATGAGGCTGATTACTCGATGTGGTAAGAGAAATCCCTAGTGGGTTTCACTCTATTCTTTTCATTTCCTCTTTAAAAATGGACGATTATAGGAACTGATAGGTTGCATGAACGGTAGTACCTTAGCTGAAGGATTAAACACACTTCAGTTCAATCAGATATAGTATGTTTGAGTCTAACTGTAAAGTTGTAATAAGGAAAGGGTCAGGGAGACTTCTAGTTACTCTGTTGCCTTCTCCATTAACATAGAAATTCCCTGAGGGAGGGATCATGTCTTTACTCTTTTTATACACTGTCTGGCAAACAGTAAGTGCTCAGTAAGTACCGAGTAAGTGGTGGAGTAAAATATGTTTGAAGCAGGAGAAAACTGGTTTGCTTTTAATTTCAAAGCTATGATCTAATTCTAATTCTTGGATGTATATGAAATTTTCCATTAAAATAATTGAAATACCTGAAAATATGTGAAGATTTAAAGTTTTTGGTGTTCAGTAATAGTCAAGAACTATGTGTCTTGTAATAGCACAAGCCCACTGAACTAACTGAAGGATAGAGGTTGGATTCATTGAACAGGAAGTGAGGACAATGTCTCTAGACATCAGAGATCCTGGAACCACCCCTGGGAAGTGATTAGGACCAAGGTTGTTTTTCTTCCTCTTTTTTTCTCTCCTTCATTTTTTTCTTCTGTGATACTTCTTGCTCTATAATGTCCATCCTATATGAATGCTAGAAGCTTCTAAACTCATACAACTTTATCAGTTAATTTTCATCCAAAGTGGCCAAGTCTGTACATTACTTTTTAATGAATTGAAGGTGTAGAGAGTGGATAATGTTGTTTTAGAGTATTTTGAAGCAAATTCCTTTCCCATTGTGTCATTTACAGTCTGTTTGTGGGAGGAAAGTTGTTTAAAGAATGACTGCTATTCAATAAAATTAGTGACTATCTATATTTTCCTGTCTCTGTTTCTTTAAAATGAACTGCAATGAAACATGACCAAGTTGATTTCTTCTCTTAAATCTTCTCAGAAACTGTGCCCAGTTCATTAATTACTTTGTTCAGTGGACAGGAAATGGTTATATTTGTACAAGTTACACAATCTTAACTTAAGCTGAGTAAGGAACCAAAGAGATCTCTGATCTTTTTTCCAGAATTAACCTTTTGGTTTCCCAAACTTACACATGATACATGAGCCAGGTTATTGGGGGACGCTGATCAAAAGTTATAACTACTTTGCATAATAAGAATGACTAAGGGATGAGAAAAGTGGTTGCATGAGTTGATCATGCTGGTGCTGAGATTTTATCTGTGCAGTTTTACTTCCTTCTTAAGAGTCTCTTAGTCAGGCAGTGAGATTTCCCAAAACTGGTGTTTTGCCAGCAATACCATGAAGGGCCAGTCACGCTCCACGTCTGCTTACCCCCATGCCTGTTACCTAGTAACCCTGTCATCTACTTTTCTCATTCCTGAAGCTGGGATTTTTTTTATTCTTTATCACTGATGATTCTTTTAAGCATTATGATTGCCATTTTGCAATTTGGACAGAGCTGATGTATTTCTAATATTTTGTCTAACTCTTCATTCAACTTCCTTTCATTTTGACTTATGTTATTTCCTGAAGCCATATTGTTACTGAGAGAAAATATAATCTTAAGAAAGTAAATTAAGGTCTTCTTTGAGAGGTATGGAATTGCTATATTTGAAGTATTGCCACAAAATCGTATTTCTTTTTCATATAGCCCTAAGATTTCTCTTTTGAATGATCCACTGCCACTTCTTGTTTACTTGTATCTTTTGCTCATTTTCTTGTTAAGTACTTTTCTAAGTCTTGGTTTTTGTGTTTTTCTCATTTATTTCTACCAGTGCTCCAGAGTTCCTTAAAATTACATAGCGTTCTTGGTCTTAAGTCTAGTCTTTGCAATTTACCAGATCACCCTAAAATGTCTTAGAAAAGCCCAGCTTTTTCTTGTACGTTTTCTTCCTGTTCAGACTCTTGTTGGCACCCTCTTCTCTTGCTCCATCCCTCCCAGCAGATGCCTTTGATGGTGAGACTTGCTTTGGGATTTCTGCTAGCTTCTGAAACCTTTTGGGAAAGGTACTTCTGGCAGCATTCATTTTATTTCCTCTTCTGTTCCAAAAAAGTAAGGACGGAGAATCCTCCTTATGCATTTATGTGCTGTGGCATCTGCTCCAAGTTGCATTTATGTGCTGTGGCATCTGCTTGAAGGTCTCTGCTTTCAATTTCTTACCAGGGTTTGAATATTCTACGCTAGTACCTGATAAGATCATCCACTGCTTCCCTGGTCTCAGGGTAGGACACAGGTGTTCCACTTGGAATTGGTTAAGATGCCATTAATTTAGTGATGATTACATGGTGCTTCGAAGGCAAACAAACGAAACAGCTTTTCTAAGAGATGAGCTGGGTAAAATCAAAGTGAGAATATCTCTAGTGGCTTTTATAATTTTCTTACCCTGACTAAATTTATCCTCAAGGAAGAGTTTTGCTTATCAGAAGGGTGAGACCTGTTATTGCCTATTTTATTTGAAACCTACCTGCAGTTTAGTTTTCTAATGAGTGCTTAGCTACTGTTTACTCATCCATAAAATTTCTTTTAACTTCTTTGGAAGAAACAGTCTGCTACCAGATAAAATTTGATTGTTCAGTTTTTAAATGTTTTACTTAAAAGGATAAGATATTTCCCCAATGGAAAGTGTGACTTCAGAGCTAACTTTCATGTCTTTGAAATCTGGAGAAAAATATTTGTAGGAAGTTCATAACCAATGCTGGTCAACATCTTTCTACTCAGTGTGCTCAAGGGGAAGATGATCAAATTTAAACCTTTGAGCTTTCAAGTTGCTCTTATTAGTCACATAAGAAATTGATTTTGAACTTTTAGCTTCATATATTTGGCAGAGAAGTTGAGAACTTGACCATCATTGCAGCTACTTTATCCGTAGTAGGCTCTCCATTTGGTTTATTGGATGAATGAAGAAAGGGATCCTTCTGGTCATGGGGTTTAAGAAGAAATCTGCATAATTTTCTACTTCACCATGGAGGTCACTGGTTGCCCTGGTGTGTTATGTGACCCTGTATTTATTGCAACCTTACAGGAATCACTACAGGGATAGATTCATAAAATCTTGTGGACTCCTAAGTGCAATTTCTGGAAAACTGAACTATTAGTTGGCATATAGGCTTCAGTCTAGTGAAGAGAGAAATCATTTTAGTGAAACTTGCAGAAAGTCTAGCATCCTTTCTATGAAATAGGGTGATAGAACCCTGCCCCCGAAATGATGCCTTGTCCAGAAGTGACATGATAACTGTTCAGTTTGGAGTGTTGATACTTGGGCAGTTTTATTTGGGCGCACTTTGTTTTTACTACAATTGTAAAGCTCCAAGGAGTACTGAATAGGATGTGAGGTGCTCCCTTCTGGCTGCATATTAGCAACGTGGCAGTTACTGGCCTGTCATTTACTTTGAAGAGGAATTACAAAGTTTTGGCCTTATGCCTGGAGTAGCTCCAGATGGTCAGAAAAGATTTTTGTGCTGAAGTCAAAGAGTATATTACAGTGATGGAATTGGACGTGTCATGTTTATATTAGAACATTGGCTTCCCACTTTCTCCTTTTGCAAAGTTCCCCTGGCCCCATGAGGGAGTAAAGGGGAAAAATGTTGCTTTAGAGTTTTGGAATCTATTATTTGGGATACCTTTGTTCCCAGTGATAGAGGTATGATACATGGTCCATACAGTTACTTTATCAATCTCAGTATCCTGAGAGTAAATATTTACAAAGGATGTACGAAGAGTTAGAATGTAGGTATATACCTACACCATTCTAGCTGATTTGGAAATGAGAGTCAGCTTCATCTGGGTTACATGTGACTATCTGATAAATTGACTGTTAGCCCACAACTGTTATTTAGTGGCTTTTCTTAGTGAATTGTTCTATCTCTGATGGGAGCTAGGTATTACTTCATCTCCTTTCTTGTAATGGATATAGGTATCCAGTATGAATGGGAGGTTATCAGTCAGGCTTTGCTCCTCTGGGCACTGGAGCCTGAGTTCCACACATGACCTTATGTACTTTCATGTCAACTCTGGAAAGAGAATGATGTGATTCCTATTTTCTAAATGAGAAAATTGAGCTTCAGAGAGCTAATAATCTGCCCAAGGTATTAACAAGGCGACTGTCTTTTTTCTGCACAACATGGGAGAAATTTATTGCAAGTTTCCTGCTCCTTTAGGGTAGAGGTGACCAGGGACTTCAAGAAATAAAGCACATTTCCTCTGGAAAACTGGAGTTGAGCCTTTTAGTAAAACCTGGTCACAAGACTGAGATTAAGACCTAAACCTACAGGCTGCTACTCCCACACTGCTTTCAGTTGCTTTTGTGGTTATTGAGTAACTGGGTGAGTTTGAAGAACATTAACAAAATTTTTGTCTTCGAAGAAAATGTTCACATGAGGAAGTAACATCCAGTTGCATACCACAAAAAGGGATTTTATGTTTTATCTACTTGGAATGTTCGTATATAAATTGAAAACAATGGAAAATATCCGCAATTTTGACTATTGCACTCTTTAGTTAACTGCCCAGGTGTTTGACACAGGTAGCTCACTCTTTTGAAGCACTTTCATTGAAGAGCGTAAAGATCTGTGTTCTTCAGTTAGTAAACATCATCTTCCGGTACTGTGGGCTCTTGGGGCTCCTGCCAACGCGCCCTTTGCTCAGATTGGAGCTTCTCCTGCCTCCAGGCTTTGAGTGGGATTGCTTCCCTGTGCAGACCTAAGCCTCCTTCAGC